ATTGTGTATCTTCGTTCATGCATTTAACGGTTGATTTGAATATTATCAGTTCCGCGAACTACTGGCATCGGATCACTTTGACGTTTCTATATATTCCATAGAACTTTTATGCAATATTGTTTACGAGTTAACGAGCAAGCTTGTTTTCCGCGAGAAGCCAGAGAGATGTCGTTACTGAGGTTATATGTTTTGAGGTACTATGTTTTCAAGAACAAGTTTTTCAAAGAGTTACGTCTGTTTGTCTGTGATAATACTATCATTAGTATAGCAAACAGGATGCTAGGTTTCATTAAAAGGTTCAGTCATAATTTCGAAGACCCATACACTATTAAGCTATTAAATACCACATGTAAGACCAATTCTGGAATACTGCCACCTATTATGGAATCCATACCTTACATAAACGAAGAATGCATACAATCTGTCCAAACACAATTCATTTTATATGCTTTACGTAAATTGAATTCGATTGCATTTCCATTACCATCTTATCAAACGCGCTGCATGCTCATCAACATACAAACACTTAAGGAGCGCCGATTTGCAATGCTTTTCTTCATCAACGACATCATTTCACTGCGCACAGATTCGGCAGAAATTCTCGCACAATTAAACTTTTACACGCCTTTTTGTCATCTTAGAACATGGAATTTATTTTCTGAAAAATCTTGCAGAACAAACTATGCAAAAAATAGCCCAAGCAATCGAATGATGCTACAGTATAATTTGCATTGTGGACCTATTGACATAACTATGTCCAAATGGCAAATAAAAACTAAGCTAAAACAGAATATAAATAATGTATAGAATTTCAGTTTCTGGTGATGATGATGATGATGATGATGGTCCCACCTCTTACCCCTACAAAGGTTTGAGCTGGACGAGTTATCTCTAAGATATCTAAATATAAACATTTTAACCAGGTTTGCAAACGAAATCGAGCTGGTTACAATTGACGGATTTCACGCCAACTCGTCTTCGGAGTTGGCAGCACCCTCTCAGAACCTTATGAAACTTTGTGGGTGTGGAGACTTAGCAATTTTAAGCAACTTTGAGTACTTATTTTTTTCAAAATTTATCTCGCCTAACATTTGATAAGGGTCAAATTTTTTGTCGATTTTTTTTTTCAAATGGATATAGCTTAAAAATGACAAGCCCTACAAAATAGTGATGTATGGCGAACTTTTAGCAAATAATCTGAAATTTTATAAAAAAATTTAAATAAATTAAAAAATTGGTTTCTACACTCTAAAAAAATATATTTAAAAATTAAAAGTCATTTTCCCAAAAATGGTACCCCTCAGATTTGCTTGATATTTTTTCTCATGAAAGGCAATATAATTACCTAACTTTTCTTCATACATCGCAAAGTGGGCGCTTTTAAGGAAAAAAAGTTGTTCGAACAACAACTTTTTCATGTTAATTTTTTTTTAGCGTGTTTCACTCAAAGTCGAATAGTAATACGCGCACAACCTTATTAAAATCCGTTGAAACTTAATGAGCATAAAGATTTTGACCTTTTGATAATCTGGGCGTGCTTAAAACAAAAATCTAGCCTAACATTTGAAAGGGCCTAATACAGAGGATTTTCCTGCATTTCGAATGGTGTTTTAATAAATGAAAACTCTAGTGTTTTTGTTTAGTGCATAATTTATTTTCCTATAATTCTCCATACATAATTTGAGTTTTTCATTGATTATTAGTCTATCGGAAACAGAGTGAAATTTTTCGGAGTTTCCTTTGAATGTGAAAATCGCTTAGTAGAAATTATGTTTTGAGAAATAGGTACAAAACAATGAAATTTTTGTGTACCAGGTATAGTTTTTACATGACTGAACAGCTCCTTGAGTTCATCGGACATCTTTGTGTATTGATCATTTGATATGAAGCAGAACTTCAATTTTGTTATGCTTGTATCTGTTTGTTTAACTGCCCAGTCATACAGTTCTTGTGGAGTTGTGATTGTGTTTCCATAATCTCGAGCAAGACTTGCTCTCTTTGCCATTCGTTTGAGAGTTCCTCCAATTGCGTCACATGGGCCTTTCCCATTAATACTTCTATACTTCTGAAATAATAATAAAGCTTAAATTTTCCAACTTGTTTTCTTTTATGTAGTAAATTTCGAAAGGATGTATCGTAGCTTGATTATTGTTCCAATGATACCCCTGTGCTGAGTTTTGAATAATAAATGAATAATTTTCAGAAAAGTCGCAAATCACTAAAATTTCACCGTTTTGAAGAGAATTTTTTTTATTACTTAGGTAAGATGATTGCTCTTTATGAAAAAAATCATGGGTTATGAGCTTTTCAACTTTTTCCGTCAAATATTGAACAAACTCATGAACCAAACCATGAACGGGGGTGTTTTGATAATAGGGGTAACTTTGGTAATGCAGCTAAGCCAAAAATTTATGACTTAAGGCACATCGTACGCAATATTTTGGATAGGAAACCGATGTTCCCTTCCAAAATAATGAATACGAAGAGCATTAAGTCATAACTTTTTGGATTAGCTGCATTATCAAAGTTACCTCCATTATCAAAGACATCCCCGTTTACGGTACATCGAAGCCGCATCTGAATTTTCCCCATGTTTGTGGAGCACGAGCTGCATAAACCGCATATCGTACAGTCGTGAAAATTTGATAGATTGTTCACCGAGGTTGGCCTACCAATCGATCAAATTTGTACGATAAGCGGTTCATCCAGCTCGTGCTCTAAAAAAATGTTGAAAATGAAGTTGTATCTTCGATGTACAATCCTTAAACCACACAGTTGAAACAGTTAAAGTTATTATTATTTACCTAGTGTATCATCAAATTCCTGATGTTCTGATTGCTGATGACTTGTTGATGGTTGCGGCTCTTCAAACTTCCGAGCATGGCTTGATTCTTTTCCATCCGATCGCCTCTTTTTCGGGAGAGGTGTCCTATTGTGCACTAAAATTCCACGACACGATTCACAAATACGCATTGTTACATCCAATTGATGATCAAAGCCCCATGAATGTATTTTCTCTATGAGACTTGATGATAAATTACGTAAATTATTGCGGCTGCAATTGGGATTGTTTATGTTGGCACTACATTGCACCCTTTTAATAATCAATTCAGCAGATTTTTCCATTGTTGTATATATAAACACTTTTTCGTTTCAACAACTATGCAGCACTACACTTTCAACAACTATGCACTACAGCAACTATGAGCATTGTTGTGATATCACCAAACTTAAATATTAGATTATGTCGGTAGAAACAGACTGCGGTGCTTTAAGTTTATACCTTATATCTCTCATGTGACTACCTGCGTTGTTATATAACTGCTATATAGCAGGTAACTTAACGATTATTTTAGGCATGCCTTAAATAATCGTTAAGTTACCTGCGCTATTATATGTATTCACTTGAGAGATGAGGTACAAACATATATGCATATTGCTTACTAATGGACACACCTAATACATAAAAATAAATGAATGATTATTTTTCTAATTAAATTAATCACAAATACATGAATTGAAATCTTTTCATGAATAAAACATACTAAGTGATTTTTACTTAGTTTACCTGTTGATTTGGAACAATTTGAGGGTGGTTTTATAGAAGTTGGATAGAGTGTATGCATATATTATAATACAATCCATCACAGGAAAGTGCAAACCATGCTGAGATGGCTGTTCCTCATTAGAACGTTTTGTTCTGAACTCTTATTGGACGATTTGCAGGTAACTTCTCTGTACCCTTTTCAAATGTTAGGCTAGATTTCGCCCAGATTATCGAAAAGTATACCCATAAAGTTTAATCGAATTTTAATAAGGTTGTGCGCGTATTACTATTCGACTTTGAGTGAAACACGCTAAAAAAAATTAACATGAAAAAGTTGTTGTTCGAACAACTTTTTTTCCTTAAAAGCGCCCACTTTGCGATGTATGAAGAAAAGTTAGGTAATTATATTGCCTTTCATGAGAAAAAATATCAAGCAAATCTGAGGGGTACCATTTTTGGGAAAATGACTTTTAATTTTTAAATATATTTTTTTAGAGTGTAGAAACCGATTTTTTATTTTATTTAAATTTTTTTATAAAATTTCAGATTATTTGCTAAAAGTTCGCCATACATCACTTTTTTGTAGGGCTTGTCATTTTTAAGCTATATCGATTTGAAAAAAAAATCGACAAAAAACTTTGACCCTTATCAAATGTTAGGCGAGATAAATTTTGAAAAAAATAAGTACGCAAAGTTGCTTAAAATTGCTAAGTCTCCACACCCACAAAGTTCCATAAGGTTCTGAGAGGGTGCTGCCAACCACTGGATGAGTTGGCGTGAAATCCGTCAATTACAGATATAAATGTCCTGTTAAATATGCTATAGGCATAAACCAAAAACATTCAAAGGTGTAACTAGTTATCAAGAGACCAAGAATAATCCTCGACAATGCTTTCATTTACACGTGAACTGATATTTACACGTTTGGATGATTAATCCAATTTCGGCAGAACATAATTTTGGATTGTCAAAACCAAATCCTCACTGGTGCGGATGTACAAATGTTGCGGTGTGGCATTAACTGGTCTTTTCCATGAACAAAAACCAGGGTTTGATCACACAACATGAAAGTATATACTGATTTAGTGCTGTTTAACGGTATTAAACCGTGAACTACATTTGGCAACCATTATTGGACAGATTTTTCCCCAATAGATAACAACTGCCTGAGTTTCGGTGATAAATCTTATATAGGAGCTTGGACCGATATTAGATCCCGTATAATCGCATGTTAATTAAATAGTTGTCACACCCACTGCATTTGTTGAATAAGCGACATAATAATTTAGTTTCACAACCGATTATCCAGAATAAAATTAGCATCCATCAATAACTTCCACTAATTTCGGTACGTTGGAGAATTTGTCTAGCACGGTGGTAATTCGAGAATCACTCACTAACATTTTAAGTTTAAAACTTTAGAACATTATCACTTCGCGTACTTTCCTCATACCTGGTCTAGCTCCGAAAAACTTATGGGCATGCCCAATCAGTGGCAGCTTTCTGGGGCCAGACATGTTAGCCAAAGTGGCATACATTTTCCTTCGGGTCCATCGCAGGTACACAAGCACCAGAATTGCACTTGCACATAAGTACGTGAAGAAGGAATTCCACCACATGGTTAATTTTCTTAGAAGGCACTCTTTCACTTTAGCTAGAAATTCAAACGAGTTCAGAACGGAAGCACGGCTCAAACGAAAGTGGTGCTATGATGATCCATAAAACAATATTTATTCCGATAACGGTGGATTTAGCATGAGAGCTAAACCCTTCAATCAAAGTTTCGGCATATGGCTGATTTCCTCGATTGAACGCACCGTGCGGTTCGAGGGTAGTAGCATTAAGTAAAACATCGTGCACTGTTTAACCCATTGAGTTCCTGGTGTTATATTAATAGGGAATTTAGAATCGTGTGCTCATGAAGAATACAATCGTTGTATCTATTTTTAGATAGATTTTAAGCTTTCAGTAATTTTGGAAGGAATCGTAAGACTTGTTTTCCCCGGCCGGATAATGGATTCTATTAGAGTTTGTGCAAAACTTAGACAGATCATAGCCATCGGAAGTCATTTCAAAGAATTACATAACATTAATTTGTATCACTTGAGTTAATTTGCTACAATGTATTGGACTGGTAATTTTTTTTGTACGAACATTTATTCAGGTAAAAGTTGCTGAAAAGTACTACCATTACATTTCTTGTAAGAACCCTATACATGGAATTGTAAAGTACTTCATACTTTCATTTGAACTATCCACCATTTGTTTGCACGTGGAAAAACTTATGCTTGGTAGCTAAATTTTTGCAAGAAATTGCCCATACTCTCCTTTATTGAATAAGATTAACGTATCCAACCAATGAACGATATATTTTAAAATATTTAAATTAATAAAGTTTGTTAGGATACTGATATGCCACCATTTGGACTGAAAGGGTCAATTTTTGCCGAAAGTAACTTCGTTCTTGTACCGGCTACTATCACCTCCCTACACCCTAGGTTGGCTATAAAAAAGAGTGTGCAATTATCATGATGTTCTCTACGTTGGTTAGCAAAGCATATCGTGCGCATACATAGCTAAACATAGCTTTTGCTGAAAGCAACAGCGGAAGGAAACATTTCGAAGAATTCAGGTTGGTGCATCGCATCATTCTAAGTTACTGTTTATAGGGTTATTTGGAGGAACCTAGATCTGAATTTTGATATTTATGAACGGGCTGATAACATTTCTAATGTAATTATCTTCCTCATATATTATTCATCTTGGACGTTACATCTCAGAAGGAAGCCTACACCTGTCCGCAACGTAGAGTTCTTTGAGTACTTCCCATTTTGTTAATTGAGATCCAAATTTGTACCATTTTTAAATTCGTATATTGTGTAGCAAGCACTCGGCATGTTTTTGCTTCATAGCAGCGCTTTTACTGACTAGGCCATCGATTCTTAACGTTTCCCTACCGTGCGGTCAAGCTCACTCAACATCGTTTCTTTCAATGTGCGTTCCGCTTAGTGGAGGTTAGTGAACTCCAGGTTGAGAATCGATGGACTAGGTCTGCTCCACATATGTTAATAGTTAATGTTTCGCTAATTCAACTGATTTGTATCAGAACAAAGTATTGTAAACGTTATAAGTTCTTTAGAATTGAGGAGTGGAATTCATTGCTTAAATTTCATCTTCGATTGCTGTGAAATTTTACCTTGTTAACAAGCTCTGGTGAGTTAAGGGGATTGTACCAGCTACTATCATAATTTAATAACAACGTTGAGGCTGGGATTGAAAACCTCACGCTGCATGCTTGAGTAAACCTATTGGTTTGCATATCTAATTATAAAGGAACGAGACGAACATGCAATGGGACGAAATTCGTAAACATTCGGAGCAACTAATGAAGAGCCTCAAACTAGTGTTTAAGTGTAAATAAACGAAAACAAGGTACCTTCCTCGATGTTAATGTTATGTTCAGACCAAAGCTCATGTAACGTGCAATGATAATTTAAACAAATAAAAACATCATCAAAACTGAATCGGGCATAAATCAATCTAAAAGTTTAAGGAGATTATTGTTTATATTCAGGTTCGGGTTTTGTAGGAGGGGAGCAGCTTTGGTTATAAAATTAACTTTTGCCACGCAAACTATCTGACAGCCAGCAAGTTACCGTAAAATATCTCTTTTATCAAATAGTGTTGTCGGTTAGAGCTGATGATTTGTTCGTTGGTTGGTTTTCTATATTTATTTATGAGACTTTCAGCTGCAGGCTGGTTCATGGCTGCTCTGGAAAACTCTGGAAAACCGGGTAAAATCTGTTAATTCGAAGTTACTGAAAAAAAACGGGAATATTTAATCCGTGAATTTCGATGACAAATCGAGAAAACATATACCTACTTCGTCCTCACTTAAAAAAAAAATGAATAAAAACACTTTGACTATATGTTTTTAGTATTACTTCTACGTGAAGTCAACGATTTACATAGTTGAAGATGCTAATTTCAAATAACAGACTGTAGTGGTAATTTTTATACGATAGATGGAGTAGATGAAAGCATAGAGTTGATAGTTCCGTTAGAGTACGGCAGTGTGAAGATTGTATATAGATATTAGACAAGCGAGCTAGGACAACTTTTAAGGAAGGTACAAATCGGTTTTTTCATCTCTCTTTACCAAACTCTCCCTTTGGAGAGGGATGGTGAGGGTGTCCCCCCCCCCCCCGCCACCACTGGCAAAAAGAGATGAAAACCGACCCGCTCAAGTACCAACTGTGTGTTTGAAACAGTTCTACCGATGTTTTACCGCACTTCAGTTGTTATTTGAAGGAAGGCATCCAGTCGTAGGTTTGGAAATTGCAACTATTGTTTACCCCTACCACGATATGTGCTCCTGTCATCGTCGACTTGACGATCTCGAGGGGACACGGGTGGGGTAGGTGCTGCTACTGTACCTTTCGACCATTGACAGTAATTGATGGTATGCTCCCATCCAGAGTTATGTACTTTGACTATATGTTTTTAGTATTACTTCTACGTGAAGTCAACGATTTACATAGTTGAAGATGCTAATTTCAAATAACAGACTGTAGTGGTAATTTTTATACGATAGATGGAGTAGATGAAAGCATAGAGTTGATAGTTCCGTATAGTACAATCTTCACACTGCCGTACTCTAACGGAACTATCAACTCTATGCTTTCATCTACTCCATCTATCGTATAAAAATTACCACTACAGTCTGTTATTTGAAATTAGCATCTTCAACTATGAATAAAAACAAATTTCAAGATGAGGTTCTTATTCAAAATTATCAAAAAATCGATTTTTTTGTTATTGCATTTTTTGAAAGGTATAAGCACATACAAACTAGAGATGTGCGATCCGCTCCCGAGCTGTTCTAAAGATTTGATTCACTCAAATGAGCTCATAACCAACGGTTTAATTTTTAGGAACCGCAGCTCATCAGCTCACTGATATAACAAGTCTAATCCATTCAATCCGTCACTTATAGAGGAGCTTTTCAATAAAGGGGACTCCACACTCCACTTACGCATTGAACAGCCACCGCTAATCATCGACCCGAATGATTCGCTCGGAGCTGTTCAGGATGACAGCTCGTGGATCTTTCCAGCTCTTCGGATCTTTTTTATCTAGATTCTTCACGATTCTGCTCCGGACCTGGATCTGAGCCGAGAATGGTGATAGCAATTTTGCTGGAGAATTAACATAAGCATTAAAATCTGTATGTATACTGAATTGCATATCATCGCGTGTGATATAGGTATAGATTTCTCGCATACATGTTTTGTTTTTACTGATATGGCAACTTTGCGTGCATTTCAGTTTACGCGGTGGTTGTTCAGTTGATGCGTTAGTGGCGTTTATAATTGAAAAGTAGAGCAATGTTGTAAGCTACGGATTTAGTGGTTTAGATTACTTTTACTATTTAATGTAGTTTTAAGATATAGCTCTATTGGTTTAGGGTCACCAAAACCATTTATTATTTTTACGATTTTGAATTTGTGTCAAAATTTCTATAATTTCAATGTGAGCTGAAGAGCTGTTCAAAAGAATCAGCTCCCCTCATTGAGCTGGATGGGTATGATCCGCTCAGTCAGATGAGCTGTTTTGCCCACCTCTAATAAACAGACGTAACACTTCATTGTGTAACTTCGATAACGCATTTAACGGTTGATTTGTTTATTATAAGTTCCGCGAACTACTCACCGCAGCGCTGGCATCGGATCACTTTGACGTTTCTATACATTTTATAGAACTTTTATGCAATATTGTTTGCGAGTTAGCAAGCAAGCTTGTTTTCCGCGAGAAACCCGAGAGATGTCGTTACTGAGGTCCTATGTTTTCAAGAAAAACTTTTTCAAAGAATTACGCCTGTTTGTCTGTGGTATAAGTGTCTACTATATTGTGCTGAAAGGGTTTTCGGATCTGTTTCTACACCTGTTCGAAGCGGCGTCCCGGCCGCCATGGGACTGTTGCCAAAACTTTAAACGTGTTTATCTCGAAACATGATTTTTCAAAACTGTGTACAATCTAATTTGAAAACGGTTCAATTTAACTACTTCTATTTTTGACCATTCTAAAGAAAACCTTTTCCATTGCAGGGATGACCTATAAAATATACAATTTTTTTTGTACATTTTACATTTTTTTCTGAAGCCTTACAGAGAAAAAAAGAAGAAGTGAAAAATCGACCAAAAGTTTGCACCATTTCGTCAAATTTGAAGTTTTTTACCCGTTCTTAGGTCATTCCTCCAATAAATTTAGTACACTTTAAAGCCTCATTAATCGTGTTGTGTTTCAGATCAATCCTGAGGTACCAGGCTGTGCGCAGCTTGACAATTCCAGGCGTACACTTCCTTAGTCAAAATGTGACCACGGGCGCCATTGTGTTTTTTTCGCCTTGTAAAAATTTGGAAATGATGATGATGATGATGGTCCCACCTCTTACCTTAGGTTTGAGCTGGACGATTTATCTTTAAGATAATTAAATATGACAATTTAACCAGGTTTGCAAACAAAATTGAACTGGTTACAGTTACAGATATAAATTCCCTATGGAGTTTACTGTTGCTTCACAGCGATAAATAAATAAAGACAAAGTTCTAAGCTTTTT